GAAAAGAAGAGTCATGGATTGCAGTGTCCTGTAGGAGGGTCTGAGCATAGATGCTGTAGTACCCAAGACTTTGCTATCCTGTGGTCACTGGTCACTGTCCACTTGGTGTCACCCAGAGGGCTTCAGGTAGAAGCACAGGAGAATGAGGGTCCATGGATGCCCTGCTGTGTAGCCTTTGGAAACAAAGCTTTAGCTCTGACACCACTGCATTCCTACACGTGCAGCAGACATGCAGCAGTGTCTTTGCATGCAAGGCTGCTGCCTCTGCTTCCTTCCCTGCATGCTCCTGAGATTCTTGAGCTCTGTGTCATGGACTGGGAATAACGAGGATGCAGGAGTCACAGAACAGACAAGGTCCAGACAGGGCTATGAAAGTATAGGCTGGTGCATAGTACCCCAGAAACAAGGAAAGAGAGGAGCTGCCACATGTCACCCCATCAGTGCACAGGAGGTTTGATATGCCAAGTTATCACCAACAGATTTGCTAAACAAGCAGGTTTTATGGCTACTGCTTATAAATGAGAAAGAAAAACAAAAACTAGAAAGAAATCAGAAAAGGAGTCAGCAGGTCACAGAACAATCCTATGGTACAGAGATCCACCACCCATGAACAAAACAAGCCACAAGGGCTAAGACTCTGCAGCCCTGCTGACACTCACAGGTAGGAACCCTGCCATGGCACTGCCAAGGCTTCCTTAGTACCCGAGGACCTTCTGTTGCTCACTGTGCCTGAGCATTTTTTTTAATGGAAACAGTATGGGTTTAAAGGGATGGGCCAGCTAGCCTGGGCCATTCTACATGTGCTTCTTGTAAAATTTACCTGGCAGGGTCTCCTGAAACTTCCTCTCCTCACCCTGTGTGCTACTCATCTTTTGGCACTGTAATAAAACACCTGAGAGACCAACTTCAGAAGAGAGAAGACTTATTCTGAATCAGAGTTTGAGAGATCTTTGGCCATGGCCAAATCGCCTATTGCTATGGCTGGGCTCATGGCAGCCCATTATGGTGGCAGGAGTGTATGGTGATCTGTTTACTCATCTTCCTATTATTCCACCACCTCCCGTTAATGCCATGGACTGGGGAGAGCCTTCAGTCCATGGGCCTCATGGGATGCACAGGTTCAGACTTCCACACCACTGTGAGTTGGGCCAAGAGCCAGCCACTGGTGAGCCCACCATTGGCCTGGGCCTTTGGGTCAGTTACGTGTCCCCTTGCTTTGCGGTGGGGCTGTCCCACTCACGAGTCCCAGTAGCACCCCAGCTGTCCCTGTGACTGACATTTTAGGGATTACAAATGTGTATTTCTTGAGTGATTCAATTAAGAGTAAATGAAGTATCCAGTGAACAGGAAGTTTGATCTTCATGTCACTTTGCTTCCAGCTCTTGCAGAACATCCCAGCACAGTTATTAGGGCTGCTTGTTTTTTTGTGCTTTGTTTTTGTTTTTTTAACTTGTCAAATGATCAGAACAGTTGTTGAAAACACAAAGCATGTGTCAAATAGAACCTCCCTACAGACTCCACCCTCACTCCCCGCCCCCATTCCCAGCTGATGTAGCCCAGAAGCGGCTTTGAGCATGAAGCATGGCTCTAGGTGAACAGCACCTTCGCAGTGGGCATCGCTCAAGCTGGTTAGGAAGAGCTCTGCGCTAGCACAGCTTTGCCAAAGCCAAGCTTTCTCACCCCCCGGGACAGGTGGCAGCCCTGTCACCCAGAGCCTCTGGGTTCTGGCCCCTTAGTCACTTCCCTCCCTTTGTTCTAACTGGCTTTCCCACCTCAAGCTGTTGTTGAATGAGCTATGGAAGTGGAGAGCGCAGAGGCTTCTGAGGTTTGGGGTGGCCCCTGTGCAGCTCACCGTTGGCTCTCCTAACATTGTCTGCATGCTCTTCCCCGGGCCTTCTGTTTTTCAGCATCTTGCTAACCTTTCATGCCCAGCTCCTCACTCTCTTGACTTCTTTTGGGAAATTGTCCAAACAGCTATCCAGAGGCCGACACCACTTAAGATAGCAAGGAGTTCCTGTCACTGCTGGTGCCTGCTTGGTGTGTCAGGAGCAGGGAGCTTGAGGAAAGCTGGGTGTTGGGTCACAGATGCTGCCCTGGTCCCTGCCCCTTACCCCCTGGCCCCTGCCCCTTACCCCCTGGCCCCTGCCCCTTACCCCCTGGCCCCTGCCCCCTGGCCCCACAGCCTCTGTGACCAGGTAGAAGACACCATGACGACTCCTTTTAAACTCCAAAGGCGCTCCTGTTCATTATCTCACTGAAACAAACGGTGTGATGCTTTGTGTGACTTGTGGGGAGATGTGAACAAAGGCCTTTCTACTCTCCCCAGATGGGTACAGCAGCAGCCAAAGTACAGTGTCTGACGAACCAGTGAGTTTATTGGGTAACACTTCTAGGCGCATAAATGAGGAGTAACTTACCAAGAGTATGGACGGAGTGGTACAGGAAAGTGGAATTTAAAAGACAAAAGCAGGGACTGGAGAGATGATGCAGCAGTTAAGAGCATTTATTGCTCTTGCAGAAACCTGGACTCAGTTCTCAGCCAGCTCACAGTCATCTGCAATTCCAGTTTCAGGGCATCCAATGCCCTCTTCTGACCTCTGGAAGCACCAGACCTGCATGTGGTGCACATACATTTATGCAGACAAAACACTTATACATATTAAAATAAATCTAATGTAATTTAAAAATATATAAAAATAACTACAAAACATTACCAGTGGGTAAAGAAAAAAATAACCCATTTGTTGTTTTTCAAGCTCTTCCATGAACTGTTTTTATAAATTAGCATTTGTCTGGTAATTTTTGTAACGATCAGAGGGTTTTTACTTTTCTGAGAAAGTTTCTTGGGTTGGGTTGAGGCGCTGTACACACAGCAAACTCTGTAGGAGTCAAATTCTCTTCTCGGGATCCCAGAAATCCGACTCTGATTTGCATTTTGTTTCAGAAGCCAGGGGGCTGGGCACACACTGCTGGGAAAACACAGCTGCTGCTCTTGATCATACCAAAATCTCTGGATTTCACAAAATCCTGTGCTCCTGGCTCGAGACTCCCAGGGTTCCCCATCCCTGCAGTGAACAGAGGCAGCCTGCTAGCTGGTGGTCCGCAGAGGTCCCCGCTCGCCCAGGAGGTGTTGAACTCAGCTGATTTCCTGTGACCTACTCTTTCTGCTCTTCCCTGCAAACACTGCTTAGTCAAACTGTTGTGTTGAACCAACTTTTTGTTTATTGTTTTAAAATTCCCATTTGACCCCCCTCACACACTATTTCTTTTCTCTTTTCTTTTGTTTAGGGTACAGTTTTATGAGTTTTACTTTTAAGAAAATGCTGCTAGAGTCTGGTATGGTGGTGCACACACGCCACCTCGACCAATGCTTGAAACTCTCAAGCAGAACGGCCATGAGTTTGAGGCCAACAAGGCTATGTAATAAAACCTTGTTCTAAAACAACAGGGCACCCAACTTAAAAACAAAGGATACTGCTGATGAATAATTATAGTCACGACTCATAAAAATGCCTTTTCTTTCATGGACAAGCTCCTTCCTCCCAACTCTCCATTTTGATTGCATTTTTCACCAAATATGTGTCCTATTCCATATCAGCTCTTCCTTTTAAGTAAGTCAGAATGTCTGTGGTGCTGGTGCAGGGAGTCCCTGGCAGATTAGGAAGGAAGTGGGGCTGGAGGCTACGGGCTAAGCAGCAGCCAGCCAGGTGACCCCATCCCAGAGCTGCTTCATTCTTCATTCCAGATTCTCCAGGTTCTAAGTTGTTTTCTGAACAATCTTGATCAGGTAAGGCAAGGAGCCTGGCAGAGCATTATCCTTTTTTAATGTAAACTTTCCTCCCTTATAAAAGTGATGTATGTCAGCTGTTAAAGTCTAAAGATGGGGAGCTGGCAGATAGCTCTATATCCTTCCAAATGCTCTGCACCCAAGGGAGACAAGGCCTCAGAGGAACTTTGTTTCATCTTGTTTTTGAATTGATTCCCACCAAGACTCCAAGGCACACAAACAAAGGTGCAGATTTGTTAAGAGAGGCAGGATGGACCAGTGTGGGTGTGACTCCAGCTGCAAACTCCAGAAGGTTTCTTCTCATCCACTAACTTGTTTCTTATGTAATGCATTTAATGATGTTATCTTATATAGAATTGTATCCCAGTCCACTAATAGAATAATGGTACAACCTAGCCTCTTCTCGTTGCTTGTTTATCCTTTATAGATTATATTCAGAGTCTTATCTCATCTACAGCACATGAAAATGTCCAATCAGTGCTGTTTTTACTTCTTGTCTGCCTAAGCATCTACTAGTGTTGACTTGGGCAGCCACAGTGAGGTCAAGGCCACCCATCCTCCCATCCTGGGTCATTCCAGATCACTGTTAATGTGGGATCTGGCTGGGAACCCCTAATTTCTAGATCTTCTGGTTTCTGCATACTCAATCCAGCATGATGCTGACTCCTGTGCCCCCCCCCCTCCTCCCAGGAGTCACTGTTTATTTCTCCTCCATCTTTTGAAATCTTGCAGTAAGGAAATCATTTCATTTTCCTCCACTTATCTTTTTTCCTGTCAACAGTAAGTGTAACTCATCTCGAGCTGTCTCTTTTTGATGTCCTTACCACCTTCTAATTCTTCTTACCTTTCAAGATTGAGTGTTGTCAGTCATACTTTTACCACACAGGTTTTGTTCTTTAATGGTTCTGATGTCTGAGGGTGTTGAACCTCTCACAAGACACCAGACAATGCTGGGTTTGTAGAAAGTCTTTTGGGTGGAGCTGTGCATCTGCTGTGTGGGATTCATTAGAGGCAATGCACTCTATCCACCTGATTGTAAATCTCATGTTGTATTATGAGGCACTTCTTAATGATGCTAGACGAGAAGAGAATAGTCCTTGATTGCTAATGTCTGAAAGGGCACACTGTAGTCTTTGAAAATTAACAGAAAGGGTCCCAGGTACTTTAAGATTGAACTTGTCTCCTGGTCAACACAAGGTCTTTCTCTTTGCAGCATGCCCTCTTGGCTTTGAAGTTCATACTTGCATTTGCCATCCCTGATAAACCACGGCACATCCAGATGAAACTGGCCAGATTGGAATTCGAATCTTTGGAAGCACTCAAGCAGCAGGTAAGAGCCATGTGCCTGGAAACACTATCAGACTGTGTTCCTCTATCTCAGGAGTTAGGCCACTCTGTGTTTCCTTCAGCACTGAATTGCCAGTTAAATAAACACAGAGGACCCCAGTAGAGGATGGGAGAGCCCAACCCAGATCCTATAATGCCAGCAAAAAGTGTGTTTAAAGGTCAAGGCAAAGCCAGCAGAAGTATCCAAGCAATGGGAAGTGATGAATGGAATAAAAGAGCAAAACAGGTTTCTAAGAATCACACCGGAGCTGCCCCCCCCACTTCTAATTGTGCCTTTTATAGAAACCGTAGGGAGGAGGAGCCAGTAAATAGGATCCTAAATAGCATCTTGCAAACTGAGACTGGAAAACCTGTGGGCAGAGCCACAGAGAATGCCCTGAAGATTGTTTCCATGTTCTACCAGATGAAAGAGAGAGAGAGAGAGAGAGTGGGATAGGGGAGCTCACGCTGGAATTCACCATGGTTGATTTTCTGCCTGTGAGGAGAACAAAGAGAAGACAGAGAGTTCCTGGGTACTCAGAGCTGTTTACCTCCTGTGAGATATGTCAGTTTAAGCAACGAGGTAATGAATTGGGCAGTGTCTTCCCAGGGACCAACTCTAGGTTCAGCACCTCTTGGACCACACAGTATTTGGAGAATTGGAGGGGGAAATGTAAAAAGGCCCCACCCTAGCTGATCCTCTGATAAAGTGAGGACTCTCAGGGCAGTGGTGCAGATGGGAACCCCATGTTAGAGTGTTGTGCCTGCTGTGGGGATTCAAGAAGAACAGATAAGAGAATCTGGTCCCCAGTCAGCTGGGCTCATTGTCTCATGGTAGGTGATAAGAGTCAGTTCCTGGGCTTGCTAGGGAGGTAGGTCTGGTGTCTTTACCCTAAGCTCAGCTTCGTTCATGCTCCTGATGCTGTAGTGAAACAGCCCTGTGATGGTTAGCTTCATTCTGGAGAACTAAGAAGGTCACATGCTGAGAGGGGCAGACACAGCATGACTGCAGACATAGAGGCTTACATATTTAAAGCCCATAAAGTAAATATTAAAAGCAATAGGAAGCTAGACATTTGGCAGGTGGGTGTCTGTGAGTTTTAGGCCACACTGGACTACATAACAAGCTCTAAAACAGCCAGGGTTACAGAAGATTGAAATCCTCTCTCAAAAAAAAAGTCAGGAGGCATATTATAAATTTTATATACAATCATTTGTTTCCTTTCATAAGAAATAAACAAATTTAATTATAAATTTCCCATTTACAGGAAAAGTTAGAATATAAAGTCTTTAGATGGTAACATATTAAACAATATGGATAATCTGTATGAAGAATGTTTTTAAACTCTCTTAGAATCAGAAAATTCTATCTTTGGCTGGGGAGATGGCTCAGTAGTTAGAGCATGGGGCCCAGAGTTCACATCCCTAGAACCCACACGGCAGCCACCTGTAATTCCAGCCTCAGAAGACTGAGACAGGGCCCCAGCACAAGCTGGCGAGCGGCACGACCCATATCAAGGAGGTCTGAGTCTGACTGAAAGATTCTGCCTCTGTGAATAAGGTAGAAGAGTGATTCCTGACGTCAACTTTGGACCTCTGTATGCACTCACACACAGGTACCCAAACACACACACACACACACACACACACACACACACACACACACACACACACACATACACGCACGCACGCACACACGTAGAAAAAGAAAAAGTACTCAGTATTGTGGAAATGTGGTGTCAGTCAAGTATGCAGAAGCAAGCGTGAGGGAGAACTTTTCTTCTCCTTTTCTTCTCCTTCCGTTTTAGCCTCACACTAGGGAAGGGGATGTCCTGCAGTGCTCAGATCAGCCTGCTTGTGCCTCTCAGCACTTCAGTCTGCAAGGGCCTTTGTCTCTGTCTTCCTCAGCCTGGCATTCCACCATCTGTCTGCCTTGTAACTAAGTGTGGCCTCAACTCTCCGCTTTGCCCTTTGCCACAAATAGAGAGGCTTCTGGTCGCATGGCCAGTTTTGGGGCCCAAGTTAAAAATGTAGCTATGGAGAGTGTGTCTAAGAACTCACTCACATCTGGCTGTCCCACACTTCCCCTGTGAAGTGATCAGAAGTTAGTAGTCAGGGCTGGAGAGATGGCTCAGTGGTTTAGAGCATTGCCTCCTCTTCTAGAGGACCTGGGTTCAATTCCCAGCACCTACATGGCAGCTCACAGCTGTTTGTAAGTTCAGTTCCAGGGGATCAGACACCTTTACACAGACATATATACAGGAAAAACACCAATAAAATAGAAAGAAAGAGAGAGAGAGAGAGAGAGAGAGAGAGAGAGAGAGAGAGAGGAGAGAGAAGTTGTTACTCTCTAATAAAAGTTCTGCTACATCCAGATAGCTATTATATTATGTCTAGTTTACATCAACCCAATTCCCATTTTAAAAACAAAATATGATTAAAAGTTTTAAGTCATCTGTTCCTAAATAGGCTGTACATTTTAGATATAGAACTTTAAAAATATTCATGTGCCTGGACCATGGGCCTGATTTACTGAATCTAAGGCAGGATCTCAGGACCTACATGTTAAAGCCCCTCTTGTTACCCCACCTCCTCCCCAGTTCCCAACCCAGAGCTAAGCACAGTTGAGTGCCTTGAAGAGCAAGCTTAAGCAGCTTCTGCCAGCATGCCCTTCAGGTGGTCCGTTTGCACTCAGTTTGGGATTGACCTTTGAACCAGCATGCCAGATGATGCTGACTTGGAGGCCTGGAGACAGCCCAGGTAGAGGGTCTTGGAGCCCCTGTTGCGCCTTGGGGGGGGGGGGGTGAGCTGCCTTGCAGTGAACTTGGAAGGAAAAGTGCTCTGTGCTTCCCAGTAGGTAACTGGCATTCCTGAACACACAGGCAAACCAGACACGTGTGACGTGAGAGCGAGCAGGGTGGGCATCTGCTCTTCATTTGGAACCACTCAGCTCAGCTGAGACCTCCAGGAAGAGCTTAGATGGGGACTGCCACCACAGGATGCTCTTGTGTCTTTACAAATTGGCTTATTCAGTGTCCAGTAATCTTAAGAACAAGTTAAAAATAGAAAAGAGTATTAACCAAGAGCCATTTGGTAACTGGAGTCCAGTACATACCTGGGAACTGTCAGTAGTCACTTAGCTAGCCACTCTGGGCAGCCAGGCCTGCGCATGAGTCAGGGAGCAGGGACAGATATCTAGAGCCTCCAAAAAGATGGTAGCCTCTGAAGTCAGCTCAAGGAGCAAGACAAGGACCAAAATCAGAACCAGGACCGTGGCTCAGAAGGGTTGGTGATCAGTCCTCACCAGACACTGCCTGCCTAGCTGGGATAGAGCTCGGGTAGAGAGAGCTTGCTAGTCGTGATGGTACCCTGGTTCCTTCCCCAGCACAGGAAGAATGAACATTGTCTTGGTTTTCTGGGGTTAAATACACTTTAACCATTTCTCTAACATCTCTTGAGAGCTTCTGAGTGCACCCTTTCCCCACTTCTGTATCCTCACATAATGAGAAGGACACAACATTTTTAACGGAGCATGTAAGATTTCACAGCAGAGAATGAGGATGTGGAGCATTTGACTCTTAAACATGGAATGGTGTGATGATCTGCCAACACCTGGCTCAGAATGGAATGTTTGAAACAGGGTGTGTGGAGACTTCTGCATTGCCTGTTGCGTCGTTCTAGAAATCTAAGACTTCTAAAAGCTAAAGTTTCTTAATTGAAAAATGTTTGTTTTGATCCAAATAAAGAAATGGCAGATAAATAAAGAGGTGAGAGCGAGGAACTCAGGGTGCCAGATCCCGGGGCCTTGGCAGGGTCTAAAGGTAGATCCAAGTCTAGCAGGGGATCCCAGCCTTACGGAGTTCAAGAGCTCAGGTGCCATCTGAGCCAGTTCATCTCTCTTCTGGGTCGCATAGCTCATCTTACAGCCCTGTGAAGCTGGTGGGCAAGAGGCTCAGCCTCCCTGTGAATATGGTCTTCCATTACCTAGGGCAGGGGAGGTGGTACCTACCACACAGGTCACAATGTCAGGAGGATGTCAGGAGGCAGTGTCATGGAAGGAGCGTGGGGATGCGAAGTGGGAACAAGGACCTCCTCACGTGTGAGCCCTTAGGTGACCCAGCAGGGAATTCTAGAGTAAAATGACACCTGCGGCCATTTCTGGTACACTTCTGGGTGGTGTCGTGGAGTTTCTATTGCTGTGATAAAACAACACCCTGACCATAAACAATTTGGGGAGGAAAGTGTTTATTTCAGTTTACAACTCTCAGGTCACACTCCATTGCTTAGAAAAGTCTCAGGGCAGGATCCTGGAGGCAGGAGCTGATGCAGAGGCCATGCAGGAGTGCTGCTGACTGACTGGCTTGCTCCTAATGGCTGGTCCAGCCTGCTTTCTTACAGCACCAAAACCACCAGCCCAGAGGTGGCACCGCCCACATAGAGCTGGGCCCTCACCCTAATCATCAACTGATAAAGTGCACCACAGCTTTGTTCACAGCCAGTCTGATGGGAACGTTTTCTCAACTGAGATTCCCCCTTCTAGATGACTGTAGTTTGTATCAGATCGACATAAAACTAGCCACCCGAGAGGCACGCAGGATTGTACCTTGAAAGCAGCCCCACCTCTTCCCACGGCCTCCACAGTTGGGGAATTCTAGGTGTTGCCTGTGGCAGCTGGTGTGTGATGGGGAGAACGTGAGTTGCACACTAATGAAGCCTTCGCACACCAGTGACTACACAGAGGTCCTCCGAGTGTGATCTGTTAGCCCTTTGCAGTGATTCCTTCCACTTGACTTTGTCCCAGCCGATAAATCAACCTTGATCCTCCTGCCTCAGCCTCTTCAGCATATCTTTCTGGTGCTGCCCCAGCCAGTGTGGTAACTGTCCTTACAGGTGCCTGGGCTCAGTGGGTAAGAGTGCTTGCTGTGTGAACATGACCTGAGTTCAGATCCAAGGACCCACAGAAACAGAGGTCAGATGTGGCCATGCCAGGCTTGTATCCCAGCA